GCATATTACATCGTCGATTTCGTTCGAAGTGATTTTGTTATAGAGACAGATTAGTATATGTGCGTGTGGCAATCGTCTTTTTGCCATTCCGCTGAGTACATCCAGCAGCGCAAAGACCCAAACACTTCATGTTTTACCATGAAATCCATCAGCGATTTCGGCTTCTGTCTGAAAACACGTGCTATGATGTCATGCCTATCCACCGGCGATTGCCCAGGAAGTAAGAGCTGTTTTATATCGTCCCAAGCTAGATTGCATGTGAATGTATTGAATTGGTCTGGACGCCTGTAGTGACGAACGTACGCAAGTGCATCTTGAGCGTACTCATGCATATGACACGGACTGCCTGTATATGAAGATGGCAAAATGGTTAGTCTTCCGACGTTAGTTGTATTACCGTCATTTACAACTGCATCTTGCAAATGAACGTATTCTTCAGAGCGAAGCTTGGTCTGATTCAGACGGATGAATATCAAATGTTCTGTTTCGATTTTTGCATACATATCTATGATGTATTGGTGAAACAATTGACGGCATTTCAAAATGTGATTGTCTTCAATCTCTCGAATCATTAATCGGTATGAATAATAGTTCATTGCGCTGCATTTCATATTTGTTTCTTCGCCACTGACTGGATTTATCATCTTAACGTTGAAGTGATATCCATCGGCACCATCCCAATAAATGATTGGATACTGCAGGGCATCATAGCATCGATGAGTTTCTGCAACTTTGTCAATTGATCGTTTCTCTGATGAAGAACAATATCTGTAGGTTGGAATTGATCTCCGACTATAACAATTGCCACTTCGTCTATAGTTGGAGCATTGAATCTTTGCACATGTTGTCCAGCAGGCGTTTTGTCAGCATTAGTAACAATCTTGTGTGTATCAGATGGCATCATGTCTATTGCTGTTTTGAACAAACACAGTAAATTGTTTTTTCGTGAAGAAGCTCTTGCAGTTGGGAAATGATAGACCTTTTTATGCCGGTAGAAATTCCGCAGCGTGCATTCATTTCATCATTGCCATTGCCAATGAAATACACTTCGAGAAATTTATGTTGACCATCTGGGAACGGGACTCTGTGCGTTGTTTGTTTGCTCACTGCCAGTCTTTCCCTAACCTTTCCCACCTCCAGGTAGTGGTCAGTATCACAGTCTGCTACCCTGAATGATCTGACGTCAAATATACTTGAATGCCGTCCCCTGTCTATCAAAATATGGTCTATTTGATTGTGTATCTTCCCATCAGGAGATGTCCAAGTAAATTTGTGGATGTTATGGTGTTGGAACATTGTACTTTTGACAGTAAGATTTTTCGATGTGGCAACGTTTACTACTCTAAGACCATTATAATTAATAATTTCGTGCAAACTCTCATTCTCAGTTGTTGGTTTCAAAATGTCTTCCCTCCCTACTTTGGCATTGAAACCTTCTACACAGACTTCGGGATTTTATAAAATACATGTTCTGGTTCTTCATAGAACCTGTCCTTTATATCATCAAATTTATCCTTTTTTGGAGTATGAATATTGTTGGTATCACACCAGCGACCTCTTAGTATTATGAATGAAATCCTATTACTAACGAACTCTACCCTCTTAACTGCTGATCGATTCTCTTGTGTACGAAGGAACCTGTACCTAATTCGTGCTTCTCGTTCCCCTTTCAGTAGAAGACTGGATATTCGCCTGCTTGTTCGGTGTCACCTTCTTCAAATTTGACCTCATATACTCCCACTGAATATAATTTATATTTTGAGACTTCCTTCGCCGCTGTCTACTTTTTATAGCATGTATTTAAATGATGTCCCCAAACACCTGGTGTTTACCTAGCACTCTTTGCCGACAACACTTTTCTGCACACAACAGATGTATAGAAGGGTTTTGTTGTCAGAAAACTCCAGCGTGGTCTCAGCTTAATGGAGACATGGGGGTGAGCGCTCTAGTGATAAATTAATTTAAAACTCAGGGGATTTACATTACTTGCAGTCGTTGACAGCCTGAGTCCCATCTTACACTGAATGAACGAAACATTCCATTTGTATTGTAAAATATCTCGGTATAATCTTTAGTGAGGAAGTTACACGGAGATTACACAGGAAAATGATGTAACCCAAGGCATTCAGAACGTTTATTTGAATATACTCCCTATTCAAAATGAGATACGAAGCACTAACATTAATCTGACCCTCCACAAAGCACTCATTAGGAGTATCAAGACTTATGCTTGCCCTGCCTGGTAGTTTGAGGCAGACACCCATCTACTGAAATTGCAGCGTCTGCAAAACAAAGTTCTTCGTACATTTGAAAATTTTACAAGGCGCACACCGGTCCACGATTTGCACATGGCTTTCAAACTCCCGTGTTGTCCCATGACAATATTCACACGTATATTGTCACGTGTAGGAGGGTACGCATGACGAAATTAAGGGTTCTAGTTCGGATGATTGGATTTATTAGCAGCTTGGTTACACACTCTTTCTTAATTACTCTTAAATTGCAGCCCTATCGCTTATTTACATACACCTCATAATTCACGGTTACACGCACACACTGGTCCTCGCCTGGTAATGCAATAAAACACAGGAACTTGCACTTCAGATCACTCCAAGTAGTACACGTAATTAAAGTCTTCCAATCACACGCCAAGTCTTCACACGACGAACTTCCTGTGGCTGTCACTTAAACACTCTGAAATACACTCAGTTACTCCCAAATACTGAAGTCTGTTCAATGTCAGAGTCAAAGTCACATTACGACTGGCGGTCAGTCAGTCAGTAAGTCTTGGTTCCAAGTCTCATATGGGGCTCATGACCAGATATTTATTACGGTTTGATATTTACGGTCTTGTTTCTGTGTGGCGCCCTCTCTCCAGAGTGTGGGTCTGTTCTTTTGTATATGCTGCTGGCCCTTGGCAGCGCAGTCGTTTCTCGGGTCCGAGTCCCTTGGTACTCGCGACCATATTTTACTGTCTCAGATTTGAGACTTCCCTTTCCGTCACCTTCTACGACTCGCAGGGTCACGGTGGAGGTCTTTAACTGTCGTTATATAGCTGTCGCACCGACCACGCACAGAAAGCAGCCTATATTGTTCGAACGCTATGCGATTGCATAGCAACGGTCGCGGCACGGACTCCATAGAAACCAGTTACATGATAACTACCACTGTTGTGATGTGACGTCATTGCGCCTGCATGGAATTCTCTTTAAGAAACACTTCCCTAGAAGCGGGTTGTATAATCTCGTTCCACCCTTGCCAGCGTGTATCGCAATGCTCTGGCCATGCATATATATATATATAGTGTGACATGTTGACCCCTACCTCCCCAGCGGTGCGGGGCGGTGGCGTAACGCTCGCGTTCTTACGGTAATAGGCGAGTTCCCGCCCCGCCACTCCCCTCCGCGGTGACGTCACCGAGGGATATCGCGGTCGCTAGGCAACGCGAGTCAACAGCGGCGACGTTACGGTAGTAACAGCGGTTACCTCCGCTAGCGTTACATAGCAACACAGCGACATAGCAACAAGGGTGCCTATTACGTGGCCGTTTTCCCGTATTGTCCGATCGAGGCTACATCAGGAGCAGCGAAGGCTATTCACAGTCAGAGTTCTAGTGTGGCTACCGCAGAGTTGGACTGAGTCAGTCAGCGAGTCCTGGACCTATCGTCGAGTTAGCCAGCAACCAGTCAGTTGTATTGTGGCATTTGGAGTGTAATATTTGTGATACTGCAGATAGCAGTAATCGTAAATCTGTAATTTGGGTGATTGTATGAGCGAATGTGAAATAAAATTCGCTATATCGAATACATCGATTACAGATTTACGATTACTGCTATCTGCAGTATCACAAATATTACACTCCAAATGCCACAATACAACTGACTGGTTGCTGGCTAACTCGACGATAGGTCCAGGACTCGCTGACTGACTCAGTCCAACTCTGCGGTAGCCACACTAGAACTCTGACTGTGAATAGCCTTCGCTGCTCCTGATGTAGCCTCGATCGGACAATACGGGAAAACGGCCACGTAATAGGCACCCTTGTTGCTATGTCGCTGTGTTGCTATGTAACGCTAGCGGAGGTAACCGCTGTTACTACCGTAACGTCGCCGCTGTTGACTCGCGTTGCCTAGCGACCGCGATATCCCTCGGTGACGTCACCGCGGAGGGGAGTGGCGGGGCGGGAACTCGCCTATTACCGTAAGAACGCGAGCGTTACGCCACCGCCCCGCACCGCTGTCAACATGTCACAATATATACGAACTTGAACACGCCTTGACGAATAATCGAATTTACAAGTGCATCGACTATTAACACTGCCACAATTTGAACTGAAGACTGAAGAGTGTGTTTACAGTGTTGCCATGGAACAAATTATCGAAATGCTGAAAGAGATGGAGGCCAATAGAAAGACAAAGATGATTTCATGGCGAAAATAGACGCCGATAAAAAAACCGACGAGGAAGAGACGATGGCCTGCCGAGAAGCGACGGAGGCGCGTCTAGAAGAAGAAAATGCGGCCTCAGTGGACACGAAACCTGCGGCGGCCCAGCAAGAAGAAGTCCCCATAGTGATAACAGACGGAAAACCTGAAGAAGAAGCAACGAATACCAGAAAAGAGACGATGGCCTAGCAAGAGATGGAGGCACGTCTAGAAGAAAAAGAGCCAACCTCAATGGACAGAGAACCTGAGGTGGCCCGACAACGAGAAGTCCCCAATGAAGATGCCGTAGGGACACCGGTCAAAGGACGAAGAACCGGTATAGGGGCAAGAAGCAAGCTGCAGGGCGACGTGGAGAGCCAAAGGAACTAACTCGAGGAATTTGTGGATCCCTGATGAAGTTGGCTGCCTCCTGCAGGAAGGTGTCCCACCGTGCAACAGTGGCATGGCTCAAGAGGAATATCTCCAGGAAATCTTGGACCCAAAGAAATTGTGGACCGCAGAAGAGAAGCGACACAAGGATGTCCCGTCGTGCAACAGTGGCACGACGCAAGAGAGAGAACATGAAGAAGAACCTTACTCGGGGAACTGGTGGACCCGGGAGGAAGCGATTGGTCGCGGCCGACAAGAAGATGACTAGCTGTGCAAAATGTGACAGAGCGCAAGATACTCAGACTTCAGGGAGATCAGTTGGAGTCACGCACAAACCCTCATACAGATGTGTCTAACAAAGCACGAGAAGGACTTGAACTTGAGAGGACGACACAAGGACTAGTCTTGAATGGAAAATTCGAGGCATGTGCGAGTGCACGAGCAGACGTGCTGCACGGAACCCCAGCAGATACGAACATCAAAAACTGGACACTGTGGATGTGTCGATCCCCCTCCAAAACGAGAAAGAAGCAGAGCACAGAAGAGGAGCCGTTAAATTAGAAGCACCGGCCTCCCCAGAGAGAGTGAATGTACGATGGGAGAAAGTGAAGGAGTGAATGTGATAGAACTGGATCTTCTGTCAAGTTAACCGGAAACCGTTAGAGACGAGCTGGTCTTAAGAGGGGAGCGGATGTAACGGACGGAGGATAGTCGCAGTAAGAGGAGTAGCCGGACAAGAAAGAAGAAGACGTTGCAAGAACAGCCTGCAAATAAAAGGAGCGGGGATGTACCGTTAAGCTATTCGGGACGAACAGCCTTAAGGAGGGGGCAGTGTGACGTATTTGCTCTATGCAGGGCGCCCCCTCCCCCGCCAGCGGTGGCGTAACAGCGCTGCCACTACTACGGTGTCGGGCCACTCAACACTCCGCCCCCTCCCCCGCGGTGACGTAGGGGGAAACCGCGGTTGCTGCAGCAGTAAACAACTCTCGACAGCGTTGCCCAGCAACACCCGTAAACACGACAACTAGGCAACAAGGAAGCAAGGCATTTTCCCATTTTCTGGCTGAGGGTTTATAAGAGAAATACACTGCCTAAGTAGACAGTTAAAATGTAGCCGAGCCGGGGACAGTTGAATGGATTCGCCGAGTTGAACAACAGTTGAGATAGTGAATTGTATAAGTGTGGAGAGCGAATGTGCAATAAATTCGCTATATCCAATACAGCGTGAAGTTATTTGTCACGTTATACATCCAACACTTCACGCCGCCTAGGATATAGCAAATTTATTCCGCTCGCTTTCACAATTACACAATCTCACAAATACTGCCATCGGCAGTATCGCAATTACTTCTCTGGCTTCCATTCACCCCGGCGAATGCTAGACTGCAACTGACTGGTTACTCAATCTCCTCGTTATGTAGCTTTCGAACTGACAACACAGACAACAGTTACGTGATCTGTTCACTATATGCGTAAATGTCATGTTTACAGGCGTTTCTGTGGAACGCTACCGAGAGTTGTTTATTGCTGCGTAGTAACCGCGGTGTCCCCTGTTACGTCACCGTGAAGGAGGGGGACGGTGTGTTGATTGGCCTGTTTCCATAGCAGCGGCAGTTGCTCCGATGCTGTTATGTCACCGCGGAGGAGGGGGTTGTTTAACGAGCGTTGCGCCGTCCACTTCACACACTATATATACATATGTGTGTGTGTGTGTTTTTGATTATAACAAAATTATGTAGGCAACAAGCAGAAGTCATACAAAATCATGAAAATGCAAATGTTTGCGACATTGAACAATGCAAACCCCCACGCGGGAAATTTAATGGGCTTAAACTTTGCGGCTGTCAAGCATACGACCGTTCAGGCGATTAGACTTCCGTTGTAGCATGAACTACCAATGCCTGGACTGACAGAGGCCTTATATATGTTGTGTATACATATATTTAATAACATGTAAAATGTAAGTTGTACATACTGACGACAGACTTAATACTGCTGACTGTTACTATCCTCTTGTCAGAGAGAGCGCCCCACATGAACAAGCCTGCAACTGTCTGACAGTAATGAAGATCTGGTCTTGTGCCCCAGATGGGTGCCTTATTCCAAGACAGACAGCCCAACTGATCTTCGGTCGTAACTTTAACTTTAACTTTAACGAGAAATCAGTCATAGCTAGTCATAGCTGAGAAGCCGTGAATCAAGAACATGAAGCCACAGTGGAGAGGAGTATTACATAGTCTAGTCGAGAGTTAAGTTCCATATGGGAGGCTGTGAAGAAAAGATGTGATGTTTGGAGCGTGTAATTTAGTGAGACTTATAGTTCCTGTGTTATAAATCCATTTCCAGGAAACGGATAGGGAAATCATTGAAAGGCGTAGCCATTTTTTAGTTTAATACATATCAACCACAAGTGTAAGCAGGCGTTACTTGCGTGATATAATTGTATTTACGACTGGTGAATGTTCAGTAAATCCACTCACCAATCGAAATCCCATATACTAGTCGATGATACACGTGACAATATTGTGAATAATTTCGAACTTTTCCGGTTTCGATTAGCTATGCTGTTAATATAAGTTCTGTGTTTTTTTAATAAATTGCAGATTAGTGGTGTCGCAGAATGGCCGAGCACTTCATATTGTGTTCCCTCACCAGTTCCTGGACTCCCCAGAGTGGTTTGGAGTCTCAACGGATGAGTACTTTCAGGTAAGAAATGGCATCGTAACATCCAACCCAATGCAGCTTCTGCAAAGCTGAGTCCCATTGTTTCTGATGATAGTTTGTAGCAGTAAACTTGACACTGAACAGGCTGGGGTAGCGGTAACCCTCTGCACTCCTTTTCAGGAGGTTCGAATCTCCCCTGCGACATCGGCTATCCTGATGGAGGTTTTCATGGTTTTCATCAGTTCCTAAATGCAGATGACAAAGTATGGCTTGTTTCAACATGACTCAGCTGCTGCCCACACTGCATGATTGTCTTTGCAGACTTTGTCCGATGTCTTCGGGGACATAATTATCAGCAATTGTATTTGCCCAGCACATTCACCCAATCTTAATCTTTGTAATTTTTTTTTATTGGGTTGTTTGAAGGACAAAGTTTAGAAAAGTAACTCCCGAACAGAAGAACTAAGAAAAAATGTCCGTAGGGAAATTGCTACTATTCCTGCAAAAGAGCTTCCATCTGTGCGAGGAACGTCTACGTGTCCTGGGACAGAATTTTCTACTCCTCCTATGATCTGAGAACAAAAGTTAAGAACTTCCCTTCGATTCATTGGCAAAATTCACGTGCCTCTCGCAGCAAGCGGTGCATCGGCTGCCGTGATACGCAGAGCTGTGGAACCAGCCAACAAAGTAAAAATACTCCCTGTATAATGGGTAGAGCTGTGAGTCTCCTCATTTATCCTTATGTCATGTTGCTTAATTAAGTACACGACTTCACGGAACATGCTTAATTTTGTATTTTGGAGGTGGCATATCTCAGTTATTGACAAAGTGATAGGCTGAAGGACTGTGGTTATATTCCTAGCAGGAGCAGAGATTTTTGTTTTCCTCTATTCCCGACCAACTGTGAGGCCTACCCAATCTCCTATTCCTCAGGCACCCTTTGCTTTTTCCCCTTGAGTAAAGCAGCCAGAGTGTACAGATGACTACTCACCTCCATGCTGTTCTCAGGTTACAAATGTGTGAGTTATTGCCAGTTTCTGCTTTGAAAGCAGCGCCGCGAGCTTAGAGAGCAATGACTCTGCTTTTGGGAAACTTTCTCGCTCTCATTGCTATCACTGATTGTGTGCCTGTAGGCAAGAACAGTAAATAGTGCGTTGATCTTGTTCATATGAAATTAATTTCACCCTGCGGTACAAGTATAATAGTGTGCGGAGCATTGATGTGAAACTTTAAAAACAATCAAGAGAATTAAAAAATAATACATTTCAGCAAAAATATGCTATTTTCAAGACATCCTGACTGTGTGATATGGTGTTAATTTCCGGGATGGATGATGATATAAATCTGTTGGTAGATAACATAAAGACAAACATTGAATCTCTAATTGACGCTAGTAAGGCGGGTGATTTGGAAGTAAACACAGAGAATACTTGGTGTATGTTCATGTCTTTTTACCAGAATGCAGACAAAAAGTATAAAAGTATAACATGAAAACAGCTAATGTACATTTTCAAAACATGGCAAAGTTCCAATGTTTGGGAGTGACAGTAACAAATCAAAATTTGATTAATGTGTAAATTACAAGCAGATTAAATGTTCTTAATTCTTGGTGCCATTCAGTTGATAATCTTTTTTATTCTTGTGTGTTGTTTAAAAACGTGAAAGTTAATACATGTAGAACTATAATTCTGCCAATGGTTTTGTATTGGTGTTACACTTGGTCTCCTACATTAAGAGAGGGATGTAGACTGTGGGTGTTTGAGAATGTGATGCTGAGGACAATATTTGAACCCAAAAGGAATGAAGTGATAGGAGGCTGGAGAAAACTGAATAATGAGGAGCTTCATAACGTATACTCCTCCCCTTATACAGTGCACACAATCAAGTGCGCGCCGCGGCTGCAATTTGCCGTGAGTCATACCACCGCAGAACGGATGCAACTCCTCCCCGCGACTGCAGTGCTTCTACGCCGATGGTTGCATAATCGGAACCCGAGGTTGCATTAAACAGTCAGTCTTTGTCTTGCTGTGGAAGTGGAGTGGAATGTTTACAGCTGTCGACAGACGGTGGAAATGAAGTTCACTATTAAACAGCATGTGTTTATTGTCGAAACTATTGCAAGGAAAAACATTTACAGAAAATTCGCACGTAGGTTTCGTCAGAAATATCCTGACTCGCCAGTTCCCACAAAGTCGTGTGTAAACAGGCTTCTGAAAAAGTGGCGGGCCACAGGTTCAGTGAGTGACAAGAAGAAGCAATC